TTCAAATAAATTGGTTCTATAATGTTAAAAAAAATATTTACAGTAAATAATTTATATTATGTTAGAAGATGTATAGTTAATTTTTAATAAAACAATGATTCAATATTTTTTTTTCCACCTCGACCATACCTAGTGAACTAAGATAAAATATTTAAAATATAATTTTAATATTTTTAGAATAAAATAATTATATATTTATATATATGCAAGTATCATTTAAAATTTTTAAGGATTCATAATATATATTATATCAATTTATTTTTTAAAAAAAGAAAAAAATCATGTTTTAAAATTTTATTCTAAAATTCAAACACATAAACAAATAAATTATATTTATCGGGACATAAAATTTTGTGGAAAACATATTAATTAGATGAGAGTTTTCATAAAAAATAATAAATTCAAAGAATAAAATTTAAATAATAAGAGTAATATAAGCTGAAGTGTATGTTAATTTTAAAAAATATATATGCAAATTGCGTGAAAATGAAAGAAAAATGAAAGCTAAGAATTGAAAAATAATGTTACAACTTGAGGGAAGAAAATAGAAAAAAGTGTTAAATTTGCATATCAATGACTAAAAACACATAAAAATTACTTAAATTATCATTAAGTAACTAGTAATTTTATGCATATAAATAGTAAGTATTCAAATTTTAGGTATATGAACAGTTTAAATTCTGTCGTTGCGTTCTAGGTCGAACTAAACATATTTATTCGAGTTTGATAATATATACTATGTTGTCAATTAATTAAAATATATTCAATTAAATATAAAAAAATTCATCTAATTTTATAAGTTTTAATAAAAATTTTGTATATATATATATATATATATATATATATGTTTTGAATAAATTTTGAAGTAAAAAAAAATGATTTTTTCTTTCTTATGCATTTATTATTAAATAAAAACCCTTAATAAAAAAAATTAATATAATATTTTAAAAAAAATCTTAATTTTTTCATAACATTGCTTTGAAGAAATAAAGCAACAATTAATATAAAAACTTATATGAAAATTAACAAATGAAGCTTTTTTAGTGATGAAAATTTATTTTTTTTAAATATGTATATTGTATTTATATATATTTATTTACAAAATAATGAATAATATTAGTATACAAAATTGTATTTGAATTATTAGGTGGTTATTTTAAAATATTATTTTAATTATTTTATTTGAAAAAACTAATTTTAAAATATTAAAAAATAATAGCAAATAATTAGTATTGTGTATGCAAATGCATAGTTGATTTCTAATAAAATCAATTACTCTAATATTATTATTTTTATATATCATGACCGTACTCAATGAGTAATAATGTATAGCATAAATTGAAAAAAATCTAAAACAATAAATTGTAAAATATATATTGAAGTTAATATAATGCAATAAAAAATATTAAATTGATTTCGATAAAATTTGATTATATAATGAATAAAAAATAAAATAAATATAATCTATTTTTAAAATTTGATTACATAAGAATAAAAAAAAAAGGGATAAAAAAAATTATTTAAATTCATACATAGAGAAAATAAATCATATTTATTAATAAATAAAATTATATAAAAAATTAAAATTAAAATTAACGTGATGAGAATTTTTATAATAAATTGAAAAGATTAATTTTAAATAATAAAAGTAGTATATATTTATTCTAAAATCTAAACATATCGTATATATTATATAATCGTCAATAATAATTACTTTTTTAAAATTTTAACACCTAATTAAATATATATAAAAAAAAGAATATAAACCGATGGGAAAAAAAAGGCGAAGGAAAAAAGAAACAGAAAAAGAAAGAAAAGACATGTGTAGTCCATCAATTACGAAATTAAAATTTTTATTTTAACGTTTAGGGACCAAAATGAAACAACTTAAAAATTACAAAAAAAAAAAAAAAAACTAAGCTACGGTAAGTGAACGAGGAATTATGAGGGATGAACAATGATTTTCATTAGTTTCTCTTAATAATTGTTTGCTCTTGAATGTCATAACCCTATTACATCAAATTTCCACCTCGCTTGAGAAAGAAACATGAGGATTTTTTACCTATCACATTAGATGCGTAGTCCTTTAAATGATAAGAGCTCAATGAAGTTCTTCGAATCAAATTAAAAGAAACTAAAAAAGCTAGAGTTTTTGAATAATAATTTGTACTTTTCATTCTTTCACAAATCATTGTTGATTACTATTCTGTTTTTGGACATTTATATTTAAATTTTATATCATATTTCATTTTGATCCTTGAAATTTTAAAATAGAATTTTGATCTTCTAAGTCGTTTGATCCCTTAGCCTCGCTACATTGGGCCAACTTCTCCAAGCCTAACTCCTCTTTTTTTTTTTTTTTCCACCAATTTGTGTTTTTATATACATATATATATTGAATTGGACATACAAATTATGAAAAATTAATGGTTATTTATTTCCTCTTCCTTTTTTCTTTTTTTCTTTAGTTTTTTTTTCCATCAATTTATGTTTTTTTTTTTATTGAATTGGGTTTGAAAATTTTGAAAAACCAATTATTATTATTATTTTTTCACATAAGCTAACAATTATGAAATATATATGTATTTTTATTTTCAAACACACACACATTGCTTGAAATTGATCTCTTAAGTTTGTCATTTCTTATAAAAATTCTCATCAAATCAATTTTTTATTCTTTTTTATGTAATTTTATTTATTACTAAATATGATTTATTTTCTCTTATGTATAGATTTTCGAATAACTTTTCTTTTGTGGTTGTTTTTATTTGCTTATTTTTTATATAATTAAATTTTAAAAATAAAATTCACGTGTTTTATTTACTTATACTTTATATAATCAAATTTTATCGAAATCAATTTTGTAGTTTTTTTTATTGCACTCTATTAACTTCAATATAACTTATAACTTAAATTTCCTTTTAAAAAATCAATTTATGCGAGCACACTCGAACCAATGAATACGGTGATAATGTATATAAAAAAATATATTAGAGTTATTGATTTTATTGAAAATTAACTATGCATATGTACTCATAACACCAATCATTTTTTTAAAATTAATTTTTTAAAATAAAATAATTGAAATAATATTTTAGAAGAGCCACCTAATAATTCAAATATAATTTTTTATACTAATAATATTCATTATTTTGTGAATATATATATATATATATATATATATATATATATATATCAAATGTACATATTTTTTTTAAAAAAAAAAATCTTCTTGTTGGCATTAAAAAAGAATAAAAAAATTCATTTGTTAATTTTTATACTGATTTTTATATTAATTTGTTTTATTTCTTCGATACAATGTCATGGAAAAATATTAAAACGAAAGAGCTTATAGTCCGAGTGGTAGTAGCCTTTTGCAATAAGAGGTCATGAGTTGAAATCCTAACATATTAGTTCTGCTAGGAGCCTTGGGTGTGTGAGTTAAAAAAATATTAAAATATTTTTTAAAAAATATTATATTTAGATTATTATAGGTTTTTATTTAAGAAAAAATTCATTAAAAAAATTATTTTTTTTAATTACAAAATTTTATAAAAAAATAAAATTTGATTAAAAATTATAAAATCTTGTCTTTAATTTAAAACATTTTTATTAATTAATAACATAATATATGCTATTAAATTAAAATAAATATATTCAATTCGGTCTATGATGTCACGCAAAAAGCCAACTAGTGAATACTAAAGCAACATATCTCTTGTGGAATTATGCTTCATCTTTCTTTTTCTCCCTTCTTACTAAATTTATGGACTATTAATTTATGTGCGCGCGCGAAGGAAATGAAAACCTTCAGGTTAGTTTATATTTGTGTCCTTTTTTTTTTTTTTTTTGACGTAGTCATTTTCACAACAGCTATATATATATATAGTGGATCACATTAAATATTAGTAAATATACTGTTGTTATTGTGAAAATGACTACGTCAACTATATATATGTGATCCACTTTATATTTTTAAAAGTTGACATTCAATATTCATCGACCTTAATTTCGCCGTGACTTTTCATTTCTGCATTAATTGATTACCTTACATATTTAGTCAAATTCCATTATGTAAGAATTTAGAAAAAAAGTCATAAACCGGTGCTAACGTTATATTAGACATGCGTACTTAATTCTGGTTAAATAGCGAATGAATTATAAATTAATCCTTTTTATTTCAAAAAACAAATTGATTAGTTCTTCTTGTTTTAAAAATTAATTATTTAGTTTTTTATGTTTTAATTTCATCAATAACTTAGTTTTATCATCAATTTTTCATTAAATTAATGATTTTTTTTAAAAAAAATTGCCCTTCATTTGATGCCTTATTTCTTTTTTCACCTATTTTTCTCTCATCAACCAATTTTTTTTTTAAAAAAAAAATAGATAATTTAGAAACAAAAACCACTAATGTAACTGAAAATTAATTAAAAAAAATTAAGTTATTGGAAATATTAAATCATAAAGAATTTAATATATAGTTTTCACAAAAAGACTAATTAATTCATTTTTCTAAAAAAGAAGGGTTAATTTATAATTTTTTTGGGGGGGGGGGGGGGGGGGGGGGGGGGTTTTGGGGCGGGCCCGCGGGCGCGGGCGGGGAAGCTCATTTGAATGTTGAATGTGGAATGACAAACTTGGCGGCGACGGGCTGCAGTGATACTCCGTAGCATTTACTCCAATAAAAAAAAAAATCAAAGTGATCTGTTTTTCATTATATGATTCAAATGAAATTAAGTATGTCCTTCCTTTCTTGAAGGAAAAAGGGGGAGAATAGACCAAGACTAACTTGTGGCTCTGAATATCTTTCCCTCATTAATTTCTCATTAATTGTTTTTGCAGCCTCGTCAAGTCTTTATTGGTACTTGCCTGTTTCCATAATCCAATTTATTCGTAGCTAATTCGGAATAGCATCTCTGCTATATATCGATCCTTCCGGTGAATCACAGAGAGATTAAGATAGTAAAAAAATGGAAGGTGAGATAAAAAACTTCATCATGGTATGGGTATCAGCTGTGTTATCACTTTGGTACTGTCATATGGTAGGTAAGATTATTTCCAAAGGAGCAATCAGATTCTTTGCAATCCTCCCAGTCATTCTCTTCTTTTTCTTCCTCCCTCTCAATCTCTTCACCATCTGGCTTGGAGGTCCAACATCTTTCTTTCTTGCTTGGCTTGCAAACTTCAAGCTCCTTCTCTTTGCCTTTGGTCAAGGCCCTTTATCAACCTACCCCTTACCCCTCTCTTTCCCATATTTCGTCTCCTTAGCTTGTCTTCCCATCAAATTTCAACACAACCCACAAAAATCAGTAGGTGCACAAAGAAGTAAAGGAAATGGCCACAAATCACCTGTAAATTATGGCCTGAAAATTATAGTGTTGGCCATAACCGCACCCATCTATCTTCAAAAAGACCAGATTCATCCAAAAATAGTATTGGTTCTCTACTGTGTATACCTTTACATTGGTCTAGAACTTGTCTTAGCAGTGGTTGCATCCTTTGCTCGAGTCTATCTCCGTTTAGAGCTCGAGCCACAGTTTCATGAGCCATACCTAGCCACCTCATTGCAGGACTTCTGGGGTAGAAGGTGGAATCTTATGGTCAGCAGTATCCTACACCCAACTGTATACAATCCAGTGAAGTCCATTTCTAGCCGCTTGATTGGAAGAAAGTGGGCTGCGCTCCCAGGAGTTGTTGCATCATTCTTGGTTTCTGGAATAATGCATGAACTAATTTTCTACTATATCGGAAGAAAGCAGCCCACATGGGAGCTCACCTGCTTCTTTGTCCTACATGGGATCTCTTTGGCTATTGAGATTGTCATAAAGAAATCGTTTAATGGTAAATGGCGGCTGCCTGCGGTGGTGTCATGGTTGTTGGCGTTGGCATTTGTGGTGGTTACTGCCTTGTGGCTGTTCATGCCGCAGGTTTTATATGCTGAGTTTGATGTTAAGGCACGTAGAGAATTTATTGCTTTCATAAATTTTGTTAAAGATATCGCCGCTGATTCGAGGTTTAAGTCATTCATCACCTTAACAAAAGCTTAGGGTGGGTGTTATTTTTTATTGATATAGTAATGTTCTAATGTCTTATTTCAGATTGCAGCAAATAAGTAAATTTGTAAAAGCAATGCGATCTTCCTATGGATAGTTAACCCTCTCCTTGAAAAATATGAGCTCTAGCTAACATTGATTAGCTAGGATTTAATTACGCATGTCAATTAAATATGAAATCTTTTTCTCTTCATCATGGTGATGTTCTTGGATCCTATCACTGGGGATCTCACACGACATCGTATCTTTCAAATATTGCATCTATATATTATATATTGCCTTAAGTTGCTTTTTCACAACAGCGAACAGATGTGATACGAGCTGGATCGAGGAGCCAAAAAGATGGCAAAAAGACATCATTAGGTATGATGGCGATCCTCAAGAAAGTCCTGGCCATCTTTATAAATGTGATGATCTCTCTCCCTCTCTCTCTTTTTCGTAAGCACCGATTTACTGAATAGATATAGATACAAGCTGGCTTGAAGCATGTGGCTCCCTTACATGTGTGTTTGATGAGGAGCGTCTTTTTGACCAATCCATCACCGAGGTTGTGACTCGGCGTGGATGCAACCTTCAATTCTTTTTTTGGATGTTGTGCTATTTATTTTGAACATGTTCCCCAAGATGTTGAATTTTAGTCTTAAATCTACAATAAACTATCATTTTATTTTTCACGAGGTGAGACAAGTTTGTTATTTTTTCGTTAGAGCCAGTAGAATAAAAGTATTTAGCACATAATAATAATAATAATAATAATAAATTATTAAACAAATCTATAACTTTGAGAATTAGGAACCAAATTTGATAACTATCCAATATATATATAAACACGGCAAAAGTAAAATTTCTGGAGTAGTAATTAAAGCTTGGAAGTTGTTGAAAAAAATAAGGTTGATTGGTTAGAACTATGATTAAAAGTTCGCCTGCGTTGAAATTATATATATAAAAAATACACATTATGTATTATACGTGTACATAGACTATATGATTAAAATGTTTTTTTAGAATTTTATACATGTTTTTTATGTGCGAAAGTATAAAAATTGTAGAGTTTAAATGAAAAGATTGAATCGGCAATGAAAGACCCACTGTGATACGTACCTGAGAACCAAATGGGCCAGAGAATTTATTGGTTCGGTCCAGCCTTGGCATCACAACTCTTTTCGATCTCAAATATATTTATAAACCACAGGGCCTCCGAGTTTTCAGTTTTAAAAGCATAATATTCTGTAAATCCAATCTACCGTCAACATGTCAAGATGGCCCATTATCTGTGACTCGGTACCAAAATCTTCATTCCTATCAAGTTCAGTGCTTCCTTTGACTCATCAATTGTATGGAAAATTTCCATCTGTTCTCTATTGATCAAACAGAACAATTATTTTGTTCAAACAAGCAATTGCATTCAGTGATTTCAATTATGGAGGTTTAACTTTGCATGAATATATAAAAGATGGTTTATGCAGAAATGTTTTTTGGTCCTTAGCAGCAGCCAGCGAGAGTATAGAGACCATCTCCGTAACTCATCTTGGGCCCATCATTGTTCGTAAGGCCTGGCTCGATCCCTGCCTTATCTAAACATCTTTTGCCCTTTATCTCCTTTCTTTAAGGCTGTCCCAACCAATCTTTACTGTGCGATTCCGGTTTGTTTGTAAGCAGCCCACATGAACTATTTTCACTTTTCTTTCTTTAACATACGGCACCGGCTGTTTTAGCCTTTGCTAAGTCATTTAATTTGGTTTCATTTACTAGACCTATCGAATATTGGATTATATAACCAACAACTCCCATCTCTCTCTTCTTTAATTTCGCTTTTTCCATAACTTCCTTTTCCATTACGAGCGAATCAAACCACTTACATTACAATAGATCTCCTTCTCATTCTCGAAAGTCGAAAGAGATCTATATCTCAATAAAAAGAATGACAATAGATCTCATCACTTTGTCAAACTAAACCAATTAAAGCGAAGCCAAGATTAATTAGGCAACAGCTGATGATGTAGGCGAATTAGATACAACGCCTTCTGCTCTTAATCGTGACCCCACAACTAATTTCCACCTCGCTTAAGACAGAAACATGTGGATTTCTTTCATCACGTGAGATCTGTAGGCTTTTAGGTTGTCTTTGAACGTGATGGTTTCTTTCATGCCACTCGCGCACACAACATATCTTTGCATCTATTCTTGCCCGGCCTTTTCCCAATAGCTAGAAGTGATGGCTGCCTCGGGAGGAGAAAAATGGGGGCAAAACAAATCATGAGGTGTGATATTGGCCATCCTCAAGAAAGTCTTGGCCACTTTTTGGACCCCTTGATTGTATATGGTTACTTATTAATTAGTATCTCTCTAATGGGGTCGACCACCTTCACGTGAGCACCTTCTGTTGTCTCTCATGTTTGCGCAAATGCTTCCTCATCATTTATTTCTTGCTTTCTTCTCTTGTTTTAGATATACATCCTAGTTCTAACTTTTAATTCGTGATCTCTCCCCTATCTTTAATTTTCTTTTTGTAGAGCAGAGTGACTCTTTCAACTTTATCGTGTTAAAGAAAATCTAAAGCGAAACATCTGAAGGACCTTTAATATCATAGTCGTGTGAATAAAATAAATAAATATCCTGTTTAATTTTCGACTCTTCTCCCTCTCTGTTTTTTTTTTTATTAAAAAAAAACAAACGAATGGGTTTTTTTGTTACAAAGGAGAGATTTGGGATTTAGATGTTTTGAGAGAAGTGAGTATGATTGCAAATTGAACTACAAACCTTAAATGTATCATTTTCATCACTGAATGGGATTGAACAAAATTGTCAGAAAGCTGATCATGTTTTCTAAAATAATAAAAAATGGTCTTACGTCGATGCTCGATTGGCCGGCAGCACTTTGCACCTTGATTATACATCTAGATAGGTTGTGAATTATGCTTCTAGAACCCAATTTTCCATTCCTGTTATCTAGGCATTAGGCCCGTCCAGTTCGGTCCATCTAAGAAATAGTTTGGAATAAGAGCTGAACTTCATTGACATTTTGGTAACTTCATATACCTTTTCAAGGAACAAACAGTAGCATAGACATGATGATTTTACTTGGATAGAACTGTTTCATTTTGCAAATTTACTTGGAAATAAGATTCTAGTACCGTGTCATTTCCTAAATGAACAAGACAGGGACTGCAAGTGTAGCCAAATTTTAACTCTTGCTTTTGTCCCTTCCAGCCTACCTTTTGTGAACATGAATCTTGTTGTCGCAAAATTTGGAGTGGATAAAACAAACGACAGTTCTGTTTGTTCTCATTCATTTTTTGAAACAAATTAAGTAATAATGGCTTACCTAAAAGCAACAAAAATATAAATTTTGTTGAGCTCCTAATAACACAAAAGCAATGTAAATGGGGTAGGGGGCTATGCGATCTCATTCTTGAGTTCCCCATTGCTCGATAGTTAGGAGGACTATACGTCTCGTGCTTGATTTGATAGATGAACTTCCCCTTGTACGTCCTTTCTTGGTTCTTAATGGCACAGATTAACTTTCATGTGAGATATTCTGTTGATGATAGCTTAATTATAAGCCTAAAAAGGTCTTTGTCGCTTTGCAACGTGATGTTATAATTAAACGCACTAAGGATTTGGACCAATAAGTTGTAAGACTATGTATCTATTAGGCAAAACATGAAAGTGGGAAGTCATGATGAAGAAGAGGATTAATGGTCCTTCTCAAAACCATATATATGGTGGAAGGGTTGAAGGGGACCATCTAGTGATTATCACCATCTTCCCTACACGTACAGTACAATTATCGTCAAGCATCAACATCTTTTTAGTTCCCACTTAAACTTCGATCTGCAGATGGAAGCCTGTCTCCAACTTTTCTTTCCCTCTTCCAGGCGGAGATCATTTTACTATCTGTTCAAGAAAGATCGTACTCGAATTGTTTGATTAGAGCTTCGGAACTTCCACAAGGACCAGAAATCTTGTGGAGACGATAAGCAAGCTTGATACTAGTGATGGAAAAGACATGATTAGACTTCCTAGCCCAAAAATTGACACAGAAAATAAGAATGTTAAGGTTTCAATTAATTCATGATCATTACATCTAAACTCATAGTTGAACTATTCCAGGTGACAACGATGACAAATAACGGAAAACCTTAATATCAGGTGGGATATATAGTAATTAGTTAAGTAACATAATTGTTAAAAAAAAAAAAAAATTGAAGTAAATATGTTATAATTTGCTCAAAAAAATTTAAGCTTTATTACGAGTGATTCTTTCTCAACTTCATATATTAATTATTTTTTATTTAATTATTCAATGTGAAATATATATTTTAATACTCTCCTCATTTATAGCTTATTTCTTTGAAACCTGTCAAGGAACTTCAATTCTACGATCTTGAATTTTTTTGAGATTTCGATATCTTATAAAATTAGATAGTTAAAATTAAATTTCATTAAAAAACATAAGTTTTGTGATAGGGTTAGATTAAAGAAATAAGACAAGCGATCTTATCTTCCTAATCTAACATTTGCAAAATAATCGCATTCACAATCATTTGATGACCAAACAAAATTAAGCTGAAATAACCTAACAAAATTTGCTGAAGGGCAAGAATTATATTTCTTTAGTGGGCACAACAAAAGGTAAAATGAGTTGATGCATCTGGGATATTAGAGGTACGCTCTTAACTTCACCTGTATCCATAATTGACCTGGACCATTATCACAAGTTCGAGTATCGATTACCTCTAGCAAATACAGTTGTTAATCTCAAACCAGCCAAATAAAATAAGTATACTTATAGATTTCACCCTCTAGATGCAACAAGAAGAATAATAACCAGTGCAAAAGCCAAGACTAACAAATGATTGATACTTGTAAATCAGACTGAGTGTAATTAACATGAATCATCTAAACAAGAAGTCCTTCAGATTCTTCCCAAACTTTCCTTACACCAATCAATTCCCCCACCATCAATAATCGAACTAGAAAATAGATGAATTTAAGACAAAAACAACCATATAAGATTTACAGAACAATTTATAAGGTTGAAGGAGAAAAAAAGCAACTGTTACAAGTATTTCAGAATATGAATTGCAATAAAGCTATTCCAGGATAAGGGGAAGGCAAGAAAGAGCCCACTTGTTGTTCTATTATAACCACCAAGTAATGGACATCAGTAATGATGTAGGACCAGTCTCTATCCTCTCTTCCCATCGATCTTCTTCCCCTTCACCCCAATTTTTTTTTTCTTTCTCATTTCCTTGAAAATTTTGAACGTTTGAAGAAGTGAAGGCAGAAACAATTGCATTGAATTAGGCACCGACTCTTACTCTTAGATTTCAAAAATTGAAAGTACTCTAAATCATTATTTCTTACCCGTATTCAATCCTACTGAGAAAAACCCAACAAACCCTACCATTATCCATCCCCTTTCCTCGCAATTTCATTTCTCTAGAGTTTATGTATAAAATCAAGCTAAGACTGACTATATATCTCCAACTCCCCCTCCCTCCCTTCCTTTCAATTCAATTACAAAATAAACATTTGCAAATGTTAGATTCGGGGGATAAGGCAAGCGACGAGTTGTCTATCTTATCTTCCTATCCTAACCCCACTTAATTTTAAAATCCTCTTGCAAAATGTTTTTTTTTTTTTAAAAAAAATGAACGACAAAAGTAACGATTAACGCAGTTGATGGTTACATTTGATGACAAATAGAAAAATTAAATCAATTTTATCCAAAACCTAATACTTTAAAGTTTGAATTACATAATTTAATAATAAGGTTTTGCAATTGTCAAATTTCAATAGAATAAAGGCATAAATTTTCATTAAATTAAATAGTTAAATAATAGATAAACAATATATAAAGTTAAGAGGAAACGATCATTATAAAATTTAAGTTTTTTTTAGATAGAACTCAAACTCAATTGTCAAATTCTGTACATAAAATATTTTTATAGAGTAGCAAAATAAATTTGTCATCTTTTGATTTCATATAACAATATCTTAGTGGAGATGGAATTGATCCTTTATTTCATCGGACAACGTAGGCAGATTTTAATGCACATCACATGAATTTACATTGATGTGAAATAATTATTTTAATAGTAAGGATAGATGCCATAAATTATTACCCAAACAAGAAGAAACAGTAAGAGTAATGCCATGAGATATGTGATGCAAGTGCAGAAGAACTAACTACACATAAATGTTGACGAATAATGCAGCCATCTCCGTTACCCAATAAAACAATTATGGGAAAGAATGATGCCAGAAGTGGCACCATAGCGGGATATATATATATATATACATATATATGAGACGCACCATTGAGATATGATATGCATGAACAAGCACGCACTTTAGTGTTCAAATCTTATATGGCAGCAGTATTTAGCATTTGTAGTTAACTCTTATGGCAGCTGCCTTCACACAATATTAGTAGAACTTAACAAAGGGACTAGATCCTTAACAGAGCAGAAATAACCTGATGCAGCACCGTCTGTATGTGTATATACATACATATAGGGATCGTATAGCAGATAAATTAGGTCTATCACGTGGACCCCATGGGAAAGGGTAGTTAGGGTGGCAGTTGTGTACTCTATCGACTCCAATTTAGATAAATGGTCTGCCTTAGTACAGAGAGGGCAGAGTTTTAGGCTATGGTGACTGGTCAAGCACGCTTTGACTCACGTGGACTCTTGTTGATGGAAGTGTACTGTGGGTTTAAAGCTTACCTCCCGTCGGTCCAACCCATGAGCATCTTTAAAGCCAAGTAAGAGAAAAGAAATGGAAGCGTAGGCAGCTACGGAAAGGAAAGCAACAACTTTCGTTTTCTGGTGATGAGCTTAGCTTCTTTTATCGGCCACGTACGACCTCATACACCATATTCTTCTTACAAGTAATCTGTCTTCATCTACTTCCTTGTGTTTCTACCTTCACTTTTACTGCTTCTCCTTTTCTTTCTAAGTTTTGTTATTTCTCTTCTCTTTTGATTAGGGTGTTGGGAAATACATCTTCTCTTTACCAACTCTTGTGCATGTTTCAATTTCATAAAGGAATATTCGAATTCAAGATGATGCTGGACATAAATCGTCCATCCAATAGAATTAGGACTTCAAAAGTGGTTTATTCTTCCATCTTTTTTTCGCAATGCTAAACTTAATAAATGAATTTGAAAAATTAATGACAAGTCAATCTAACGTATACATGTTACCAAACGGCAGGTATATTTGTGTGTTTATTTACTTCATGGTTTATGAATTATGAGTAAAGAAACTGATTAGATCCGTCGGCTGGCCTGGGGAAATAAAGACACCAACTAATGGTATTCATCGTTTATTAATTTATAAAATATTTAAACACAAATAAATTAAAGCGCGGTAGCTTGTTTCTATGTGCAAGTCCCTCTCAAATTAAAGGATCCGTTTATGAAGTAAATGGGTTTTAAACTAATAATTCCAAATTCTGAAATAAATGCTGAAAGCTGGTATTGGGTCTGCTCTTTAATTCTGCAACCGACTCCAATTGCAATGCCTTTCCCCCCCCCCCCCCTTAGGAAAAAAAAAAAAAAACTGTACATGTGAATCTTTATATGAATTGATAAGTAGCTTATTTCATACACTTTCGCTGCTATCTTTTTGAGTTCAGATTATATATATATATATATATATATATATATATATATATATATATATATGAGAAAAAAGAATAAATTTTGTGAAGGGGAGTAAAAAATTCATGAGCATCTGGGCACTATAAGATCAATCACAAGCAATGTTAGAGTACCCCCAGCGCCTGGTGGCCAACCGAATCGACAATCAATGGGGTTTGATAGTGACATGTATCAAGCGAACAAGAATATGGCCGTAATTGAAGGTTACGTTTTTTCGAAAATTAAAAAAAAAAAAAAATTACTACATGTCAAAAGAAAAAAAAAATTTATGGGTTAATAAGTCATTTTCTTGGGATTAATTGCAAAAGAGACGTTAATTAGTGAGTGCCGACCGTTGGCGGTGCTTCCCATATTGCTGTTTTCTCTCTACGTGTCCAAAAAAGTGGGCTCTCTTTGCCGAAAAGAAAAACTGTAACACAATGACTTCAATACCCTTGAACATTAATCCCGTCATGGTGTTATAAGAATATCCTCCTTACTTTTGTACCAAAAATCTATGACTAAATGAACATTGGTAATCTCGATTCTTAGTCTTGTATAAACCGCCAACAAAAACCAGGTGATTGATACTCCATGCTTGAATGTTATGGTATGGTGGTGGTCCTCGACGTTAGGGGGAAAAATCTATGCTATTGGGGTCCTAGTTGGGGGTGTTTATGTCATTCCATACCAAAACATGACTCGCTCCTTTTTTCTTTTTTTTTAGTGAAAAATTGTAAATCTGGAAGAAAATAATCAGGAGATTGGTCCAAAATGGCCAATCCTTGAGGTCAGAAATTTTACTTCGTAATTAAGTGGTTTTATTTATTTTTTATTGTTTTGTGGGGGCATCAGGACAGTCCAACACAAACAAATCATTCCAAGAGAATCCAATAATACAAGATTGTATTTGATCCACCACATTAACAATTCGATGAGCAATTGACAAAATTAGTATGTTAACTACCTAAATTAATAATTTAATCAAACAAGGCAACTTATAGAAGCAAAGCAAGAATGTAAGATTGTTAGTCTAAAATCAAAACCATACTTTCTTTTCTCTCCTTGAAAAAGCATCTTTGCCTCCGTGTTTGCTGCAATTACGGTCTACAGCTTCTTTTCATCCATCAATGATCAATCTGTGTTTTATTGACCTTATTCATTTTTTTTTTTTTTCAAAATCTTGCATCAAGGCTCTCCTTAAAAAAAGAAAAGGAAAAAAAAAGCAATAAATCTAAACATACATCTTTTCTTTTTTGAGTCTTGCAAAATCGAAAACCTCAATGTAATTTCATGCAAGACTTTGTTATTATTAATTACCTTATAAAAGTCCAACAACATGCATATTATTAATTACAATTGAAATACCAAAGCTGCTTTGACCGTATTTACTGTTCCCTTACCCCAAAACATACCTTCACCACCTACAATAATTAATACGGTGTTTTATGTTACTCAATTAATTAGTTAATTACAGAGAAGCTTCTCTTTCAATTTTTAATTTAATTAATTTGTTTATTTTTTGTACTTGAAAGATTAAAACAAAAAACAAAAAGCAAAACAAATGTCGAGACTTTCTAAAAGATTGTTACTCCTTACAAAAAAAAGAGAGAAATCCTAGAAAGAAAAGGAGAAACATCACATGCCACCTTCTTCTTAGATCTGCTACCTCTTCTCTTCTCTTTTTATTTCTTTCCTCTCTTTTCCAACCTCACTCTCTCTGTCTTTGCTTCTCAACTCGCTCTCTTTGACTCATTTTCCAACTTGCATTGGATTCACAAACCAGCACCATTACCTGTACACTTATACTGACTGACTCTGACTCTGACTCTGTATATTATATTATAAAGTTTGTTTGCATTGGATGGACCGATTGCTGGAATGGTGATGGTCCGGCTAGTTTGGCCGGAATTCAGGTGAGTTACTAGATTTTCCGGTGGAGAAAATGTTCAGGTCGGCGAGATGGAGGAGCGAGAAGAACAAGATCAAAACCGTCCTCAAACTTCAGTTTCATGCAACTCAGGTAATTTCACCGGAAAACATAGTACTTTTATTTAATATTGTACTTGTAACTGTCTGGTATTTCATTCTCTAACATTTAATATTTTGAATTGAAGTACCTTTTTTTTATATACTATTGTTTCAGTTCTAATTTTACGGATAATTGTATCGCTGTTCTGGTGAAAGATTTTAAGTCTTGTTTTTTTTTTTAGTGAAATTTTGGTGATGGGTTCAGTTAGTTCTGTTTGGATACTAAGAAAAAGCAAGGAAAGGAGAAGAAAAATGAGAATTTTGAGCATTAGAATGTGCATTAAGTGGAACCTGATCAAGAAACCAGGATTTTCTTTATATGTTGAGCCTTCTATATATTAGTTCATTCAAGTTTGACTTTCTTTTGTTGTGTTGAATTAAGTAAAGAATTTGAATCCTGATTTATTGTTGGCAAATGTGATTGAGAAACTGGATAAAGTAAGAACTTTGGTGGTGATTTGTGAATGTAGCTGCCGCAACTGAATGTGAATGCATTGACTTTATCTGTGGTTCCTGGAGATGTGGGGAAGCCAACAGTGAGATTAGAGAAGGGTATACTCCGAGAAGGAAGCTGTCGATGGGAATATCCAGTCTATGAAACAGTAAAATACATTCGTGATGTGAAAACAGGGAAGATCAATGAGAGAATATACCATTTTGTTGTCTCAACTGTAAGGAATTTTACCAAATTATTGACTTATATTGCACTACTTCTTGTTGAGCCTTTGTTGTGTGATTGGATTTTTTTTTGGTTTTGTGTAGGGATCATTGAAAAATAGTTTGGTTGGGGAAGTTTCAATAGATATCGCTGATTATGCTGAGGCGACGAAAGTTTCCAAAGTTTCTCTTCCCCTCAAGAATTCAAAATCTAATGGGGTTTTGCATGTGAGTGTTTTCTTTTCTCTCTTTTCTCTCTCTGTGTCTCATTTACATCTGTCACGGATATAATTCTTAGTTCCCACAAGACCTTCCTTGCTGTTAGGATTAATGAGAATGAGAAGTTCACTTTGTAATTGAAGTTCAGAATTTAACTTCAGTTGTTGGTTTTCAATAGATTTCAATTCAGAGGCTGCAAGAAAATGTTGAGCAAAGGTACGATGAAATATCATTTGTTATTATCAAATTTTTTCAGTTTCCATATTTTTCTTGGAAGGGTTTATAGATTTTGATTTGGGTCTTTTCTACAATATTTTGCAGTGAGGTGGTGGAAGCTGATGATATAAACATAAAATCCCAGAGTAGAACCTTGAACACCCTATTAAGCAATAGTGATGGAGATGAGGGTATTAATAGTCATTCTAGTGAAGTAAGTTTCAAGTCTAGTGCTGCAAATCATTTCTGTAATTCTCATCTTGCACGATTCTTAAATTAGAAAGCACAGCATAAAATTTGGAAAAATCAGATAGCATTCTACTTTTGCACCCCTTTTCAGTTTTCTACTTCTCTAATTTTGTAGCTGTTTGATCAAAATATGATGGGGGCATTTTCGTTGTTCTACAGGATGGACCACTTATTAATGCCTCCCACAATGCTGAATTAAATGGCAATGACAGAACTTCTACTGGATCTGACATTACAATGTCAAGTTCTGAAAGTAGCTCTGGGCTTAATACCCCGCGAGAACTTGGACTGAGAAACAACATGCTACGGGACCCTACTAGCTTTCTATTATCTCAAACCCACACTTCAGCACCTCACCTGCCAAAAGCAAATGCTTCTGCAGCAAGCTACAGAGAGCATCAGCAACTGCAATGGGAGTTATCAGCAGATTCTGATCATGGTATAAGTACTGATGACTCAACAAACAGAGATAGATCCCAACAGGATTCAGATATTGAGATGGAAAAGCTCAAGGCTGAACTCATTATGTTGTCAAGACAAGCAGATGTGTCAGAGTTAGAAATACAAACTCTGCGGAAGCAAATTGTAAAAGAGAGCAAAAGGGGCCAGGACCTCTCAAGAGAAATCTTGGGATTAAAAGGGGAGCGAGATGCGTTCAAGTCAGAGTTCGAGAAACTCAAGGCATTTCAGAAATGCATGGAGGATGCAAAAAGCAAAAACAAGTCGCAGTTTGAAGGTGGGGATCCATGGGTTCTTCTTGAAGAAGTTCGACAAGAACTGAATTATGAGAAGGACCTGAATTCCAACCTCCGGTTACAACTGCAGAAAACGCAGGAATCAAATGCTGAGTTGATACTCGCTGTGAAAGACCTTGATGAAATGTTAGAGCAGAAAAGTAGGGAAACATCTGACCTTTCCAACAAAGCAAGATCCTATGAGAATGTCATCTCAAGAAGTGAAACCGATGATGATGAAGAGCAAAAGGCACTGGAAGAACTTGTTAAGGAGCATAAGGATGCTAAAGAAACTTATCTGCTGGAGCAAAAGATTATGGACCTCTGCAGTGAATTAGAGATCTATAGGAGAGATAGAGATGAGCTGGAGATGCAAATGGAGCAGCTGGCACTTGACTATGAGATATTGAAGCAGGAGAACCATGACAAGTCATATAAATTAGAACAAAGTCAGCTGCAAGAACAGCTGAAGATGCAGTATGAATGCTCCCCTTCGTTTCCCAACATAAATGAACTAGAAGCTGAGGTTGAGAGCTTAGAAAAGGAACTAAGGAAGCAGTCAAAGGAGAACTCTGATTCTTTGGCCACCATAAAGGAACTAGAAACCCATATCAAAAGCTTGGAGGAAGAATTGGAAAAGCAGGCCCAAGAGTTTGAAGCAGATCTGGAGGTGGTAACAAGTGCAAGAGTCGAGCAGGAGCAGAGAGCCATTCAAGCAGAGGAAGCCTTGCGAAAGACAAGATTGAAAAATGCTAATACAGCTGAGAAGCTGCAGGAAGAATTTAGAAGGCTGTCCATGCAAATGGCGTCAACTTTTGATGCAAATGAGAAGTTAGCTATGACAGCACTTGCAGAAGCTAGTGAACTACGTATGCAGAAAGGTCAATTGGAGGAAATGCTCCAGAAAGCTAATGAGGAGATCCAATCAGTTAAGGATGGTTATGAGTTGAAACTGCATGATCTTTCCAACCAACTGAATTCAAAAATAAATCAGATGGAGCAGATGTTGATGGAAATTGAGGATAAATCCAGACAGCTTGAACTGCAAAAGAAGCATGATGAAGAACGTGATGGAACCTTCTCCCAGGAAATCCAAGGCCTAAAAGCTGATCTTGAAATGCTCTCAATAGAAAACAATCGCCTTTCCGAGCAAGCAGAACAGAAAGAAAATATAAGTTTAGAGCTGGAACATATGAAGACATCAATGAAGCACACTGAAGCACTGGTACAAAAAGGAAAAATGGAACAAAATGAACTGGAGAGTACAATTTCTTTGTTGAAGAAGGAAGCCGAGAAGTTGCTGGAGGAGTTAAATAGAATGAGATGTCTCAAGGATGAGAAGGAGTCAGCAATGAGTCTGTTGCAATCAGAGGTGGGATTGCTTAAAGCTCAGTGTGATGAATTGAAACATTCTCTGTTTGAGGATGAGTTGGAAAAAGAAAAACTCAGAAAGCAGTTAGTCCAATTAAAGAGTGAGTTAAAGAAGAAGGAAGATGCTTTGACTAGCATGGAGAAGAAACTGAAGGAAAGCAATAAACGCGCAGCAGTTTCCGAAGGAACAAAAAGTACTCCAAGACACAATAAGTTTGCTCCAGTTCCTTATGGCTCTAAAGAGGTGGCAAACCTGAGGGAGAAAATAAAATCGCTTCAGGTAAATGTTTATTTCCAAGTTGTTCTGTAATTTGAAAGTTTCAACTAGAATATGCAAGGCCAAAATATCAAGTGTTGGCGCGGTCACTAGCCTCAAGATGGGCAAACCCCTTTATGATCTTCCCATCATATTCTTTGGTTTGCATTGATTCTGAGTGCACTCTGATTTATAAATTCTGTTCTTGATTGACTTGACAATACTCCCTTGTGATATTGTGTGGCAGGGACAAATAAAGTTAAAGGAAACTGCTTTAGAAGCCTCTGCAAATTCATTTTCAGAGAAGGAAAGGGATCTTCAGCACAAGATTGAAGAATTGGAGGGAAGAGTGGAAGAACTCAACCAGAATTGCGTAAGTTTCTACTTTTTATCAACCCCAAAAGGTTAGTAATGATATGCATTATATATAATGGACATCAGAAGTGGTGTGTTTGTGTTGCTCAAATATCTGGACATAGATGAGTTTCAAACCACAGAAAAAATAGATGACGTTCCATTTTTTGATATATGAACAACTTTTTAACCAATTGTCCATCTAGACGGAACTGCTATATTTTCTTTTAATTTCATTGAGTGTGCAACGTAACACTGTTTCTTAATCTTAACTGTTAATCCTGCAATGCAGTCATCGGAAGACAACATTGGAATTACTCCAAATGGTGACATAGCTGAAGATTTAAGAAGCACAGATGAAAATCCAAGCAGTGCATCCAAAGAAAATGGGAATTCAAAATTGTCAATCAAGTGGTATGACTTTGAAGAAACAATAGTTCTGTTTGAGTTGGTTTTGTATTCTAGCTTTGCTCCTAGCTTGTTCTTGTGATTGAAATCTTTTCCTGTTTCCTTCCAGCGATCATTCCACCGTATCAGAGTTAGAACCAAAAACCTCCTCTATCAATAATACAACAGACCACAATGGCGATGAGTTGTTCAGTGAACTAGTGTCATTGAAGGAGAGAAACAAATCAATGGAAAATGAACTGAAGGAGATGCAAGAGAGATATTCGGAAATTAGTCTCAAGTTTGCAGAGGTAGAAGGTGAAAGGCAACAGCTGGTGATGACGCTACGAAATCTTAAGAATGCCAGGAAGGCCTAATAATTTTTTCTTCATATTATATTTTACTGAACCTATATACTGTGTATAGTTGAGTAGCTGGGTGTGCTGCAAGGAAAATTTAGCTGTAGGTTTCCGTCGGAATGAATAATTAATTTGTACAAAGCAATACGAAGTTACAAAAATCCCAGTGTAGAGAAGCCATTCAATTAGGTGTTTGTGTTTCAATCACGTAATTTTTTATAGCTCGACATGTTGTGACCTTTTTCATTATTATGTTCGTTTCATTTTTTCCTTGGTGGTCACAATTTATCCTCTCTCTGTTTTTTTTTTTTTTTGAGTGCTATAAGTAGTTGCTTTTGTGGCGATCAGAGGTGAAATCCTCGTTTCTCCAAAGGGCGATAAATGAATGATTTACGTAGCTTGGAAAACAGAATCCGTTTTATATACACATTTTAAAGAGGGTGGATTCACTTTATTGAATCCACTGTACCCAATTTATAATTTTGCATTATATTGACTTATGCCATAAAAGTTGCTGAATAAATCATTAGCTAAAAATTTATAAAACCTTTATATATATATATATATATATGTCATTTCAGAAAATTACATATGCAGCTTATATAGCTCTCTCTATAATTGAAAGATAAAGAGTATCTTTATCATGGATTGGAACCTAATCATTTAATTTAAATTAAATGGTCATGATTTAGTGTGTGATAAAAATAAAAACAATTTCATTCGTTAATATTTTATTTTTCTCATCTAATATGAATAATTGAATTCAAAATAACAGTGATATTTGGAACTTGAGAGGATCCAAATCGATTATTCTTATTTTTTTCCTTCAAACCACTTGGCAGTTGGCACTTATATAATTAAGTATTATATTAAAGATAAGTAACTTAATCATAATTAATTATATTTATGACAATATTATTTAACTATGTTCATCTCATAATCCACTTGTCATGAAATTTTTTAAGGCCAGAGTGTTGAAAAATGGGAGGTAGGACCTTGGCCACTTGACATGTGCAGTAAGAGCATGATACAATTTTACTGAATAAAATAATTTTTTTTTTTTTCCAGAGCTATGGTTTTGGTTGAGTAGAACATGTGAAATTATTTTAAAAAAATTATTTAATTTTAATAGGCTTTGCTATATTGTGGGTCCATAAAAATATATATATAAAAAATCAATTTTATAACATTTTAATCAAATTTTTATATTTAACTATTTCTTCTTCATATTTTTCATAATTTTTCTACTTAAAAAATGATTAATTCTTCTTTATCCATGGATTCTTAACAAAAAATTAATAGAAAATTAAAAAAAAAAACTTAGTATTTCACAAGATTGTATAAAAAAATAAAGTAATATTAATATAAAAATTGGTATACAAATAAACAAATAAAAAATTGTTTTTGATTTTTAATCAATAATGAAGAGAATATCAATTTTTATTTTAATATGTACATTCGTAGAATAAAAAAAAATCATCGATTGCTTATGAAAAACATAATTTTAATTATTTAATTTCAAAAAAATGATTTCAAAATATCTATAAATAAATAAATAGTAAATGCTTAGAGTTCTAGTAGTTCCATAGTTGATTAAAAAAAAAATTAATGATTCAATATTTTTGTCATACATCACAAATTTATCGAGTGTATTTAAAGTCTGTAAAACAAAAGATATTAAAAAAATATTAACTTGTAAGGGATATATTGAATAAATTTGAAGTTTATAGATTAAAATAAAGATTATATAAAAAAGAAACAAATAAAACACACAAGTTCCTTTTTTTTCAACTTAAATTTTTTTATTTTATTTATAGGCTATACATGGCCAGTCCCTACCCATAAACCTCACATGCATAGCAATCGCCTCTTTTTTGTTTCGCATTTGATTTTTAATTTTTAATTAATTATTTTAAAAATTAATTTAAAAAAACTGGGGTAAATTATTTGAAAATTAAATAATTTTTTTTTAAAAAAAGCTTTAGTATTTCATAAGATTGTGTCAAAAAAATAACAATTATTAAAAGCCTACATAGAATTGAACAAATAATTTTTTTATTTATTTCATGTTGATGAGAATATTGATTTTTGAAAAAACATATGAATTTAATTTTTATATATTTATTTACAAAAGAATGAATAATATTAAAATAAATCAAAACTATCAATAAATATAATTTTAAATTAATTTGATGAGAATTTAAAAGAAATGACAAATTAAAGTAGTAAATAATAAAAATAACGAACAAAAAACCTAAAACAAAATGGGACCAAATCACAATACAATTAAATTTTGAAATTTAAAAAGAAAATGCATAGAAAAATTGAGGACTCTATAATTTTAAATTAATTGGATGAGATTTTTTTTAAAAATAGACAAATTAAATAAAATTAACTAAAATTTTTTTTTTATAAAGCTTTAGTATTTCATAAGATTGTGTCAAAAAACAAAAATAATAATGATTAAATGTTGATAAGAACATCGATTTTTGAAAAAACAATATGAATTTAATTTTTATATATTTATTTATAAAAGAATAAATAATATTAAAATAAATCAAAACTATCATTAAATGTAATTTTAAATCAATTGAATGAGAATTTGAAAAAAATAACAAATTAAAGTAGTAAATTTTAAATAATAACAATAATCAACAAAAAACGCTAAAACAAAATGAGACCAAATCACAATACAATTAAAGTTTGAAATTTTAAAAAAAATGTATAGAAAATTTGAGGATCAAATAATTTTAAATTAATTAGGTGTGAATTTTAAAAACAAATGACAAATTAAAGTAGTAAATTTTAAATAATAAAAACAATTAATAAAAAACACTAAAACAAAATGGGATCAAATCCCAATAAATTTAAAGTTTGAAATTGAAAAAAAAATATATAAAAAAATTAAGAACCAAAATATAAAAAGTGCTATAAATAGTGAAAGAAATAGTGATTTATGAGTGTATAAATAGTGAAATGTGAGTGTGTGAACAGTGTTTGAAACAGATTACCATACGCTTTGTTTAGTTTGTTTTATATATATATATAAAACAAACTAAACAAAGCGTATGGTAATCGTTTCAAACACTGTTCACACACTCACATTTAATTATTCATACACTCATAAATCATTATTTCATATATATATATATATATATATATCACAAAGAGAGTGAAGCTCTCCCCAGCTTAGCAGAGAATGGATTATCATTTTTATTTGTATGAATACTGTGTTATTATAGAATGACAACAACAAAATTCGAGTGTTCAATATTTATCATTTGAATCCGATTTATACTCGGATTCTGTAGTTTTTTTCTTTTTTTTTAGAAATTTTAATATATTTATGTGCAGGGATGCAAAAGTTATCCTGTACCTACTTTTTTTTTCAATTTCTTTGCTATTTGCTATTGTTTACATAAATTTCATTAAAGATCACATTCTGATAATAATAATAATAATAATAATAATGGTGCAATTGAAATTTTTATTAGATTAGGAACTAATTAAAACATCATAATATCTGAAGGACTAAGATACAGTTTTCCTGTCAATAAATACTACTTGAAAATCTCTTGCTAGGGTTTATCAACACCCTCCCTCTTTCCCTCCTCTGTAACCATGGAGAATCCCTCCCTAGCTCCTCCAACAACTACATGTTGGAGCAACATAGTAAAGAACCACCAACCATCACCACCGCCGTCAGCACCACCACAGCAACAGCAAAATCGGTTATTTGTGGAGAGTTGCAAGTCGACACACGGCATATCAGTGGCGGTTATCGATGCAAACGCCGTCATCGAGGGCGGAGAAAAGCTTAACAACTTGGCTGACAAGTTCGTAACCGTCCCTGAAGTCCTTTCCGAGATTCGCGATCCTGTTTCCCGCCATCGACTTGCTTTCATTCCTTTCTCTATTGATTCCATGGAGCCCTCTCCTGATTCTCTCAACAAAGGTAAAAAAAAAAAAAAAAAAAAAAACATTCTCTTTATGTAATGATGGCTGTGAGTCTCAATTTCCAAAAATTCTGGATAATTAGATCAATTTCTGATTAGGTTTCTACTCTAATTATATGTTATTAATTTCTAAATTATACTATAGAAAATTATCGCGGTGCGAACTTAGGATTTAGTATTATGTGTTTTATATGACTTGACAGTTATCAAGTTTGCGAGAGCTACTGGAGATTTACAGACGCTATCAGATGTTGATCTTAAACTCATTGCATTGACACATACATTGGAGGCACAGATTCATGGAACTAAACATATTAGGGATGCTCCGCCGCCTGTCCATACTGTCAACGTGAAGAGGCTGCCTGAAAAGGAAATGCCAGGGTGGGGTTCTAATGTTTCTAATTTGGAAGAGTGGGAAGCATTGGAACATGAAGCTGGAGATGGGTCAGACCCCAGCTCAAGAATTCTTCCTTTAAGAGACATAAGCTTGAACGTTATGCCTACCGATGACCAATCTGAAGATGGTTCCATGGGGACTGGAGGGGGAGCGAATACTGAGAATTTCGAAGATGTTGAGCAAGATTCGAGGAAGCCTAGGAGATTTCCACCCAAGAAAAAAGAGATAAATATTGAAGGAAAGAAGATGGTTGCAGGTGGAATTGATGCATCTCAGGGGCAATTTGATGATAATGCTGGTGATTGGATGCCAGCTGTTAGTCGAAGTACTCATAGAAGATATCTTAGAAGAAGAGATAGACGTGAATATTATGAAGCATTATCAGAGAAAGATAGTCAGCAAGATCTAGAGAAAAGTACGGATGACAGGAATACTGAGGTAGCTAGCATCCCAGACCAGGTGTTGTGTCAAAGTTCAGACATAGTAGATACTGTGAATGCGATATCTGAGGAGAGTGAGATAACAGAGGTGAAGAACTGTGACAGTGATCTTTTCTCAATTTTGAAACAAATGCGGTTGGAAGAAGGTCCACCGGAGGCTGCTCAAGATGAGAAAGGAGAGAACAGTACTTCTGTAGAGACAGAGATTAACAATTCTAGGGGCATGGAACCCTCAGATCACATTGAAAGCATTGATGTCGAGACAAGCACAGTTGATATTGCCAATGCAGAATCAGATTACTTGGAGATCTCAAGCCAGACTCACGAAAGTGTTGATATATCATATGCAGATGATAATGATAGTGAGCAAAGCTGGATGGTTAGATCCCTATCAGAGTCCAGTGTAGCTTGTGTAACTAGTGACTTTGCAATGCAGAATGTACTTCTGCAAATGGGCTTACGACTGCTGGCACCTGGAGGAAATCAAATACGCCAGCTGCACAGGTATGCAATTGTTGATCTTGTTTATATTAGTTTCCTGATTCTCTTTTACTTTCTTGACTGGGTCTTTGTGGTTTGTATTACTATCTTTAAGACATCTGCACTTGCAGGTGGATACTGAAATGCCATGCCTGCTATACTGTCACTGCTGAAATCGGGAGGATTTTTTGTCCAAAGTGTGGAAATGGCGGCACTTTAAGAAAGGTTGCTGTAACAGTTGGTGAGAATGGAATTGTTTTGGCTGATCATCGGCCACGAATCACGCTGCGTGGTACAAAAGTAAGTATATTCCTAGGGGTGGAGGAAATATAGAAAATCTATAAAACAAGCTGTAGAAAATCTTTGATTCTCTTTGTACCTTGGTTTTGATTCTAGGGAGATGTGTATAATATATGCATGTGATTGTTTCTGTCATACATTTGTTGCTTAGCTTTATTCTGGTCAGATAGTTCATAGTACTTTCTACTTGAGGAAGGTTTTCCATGTTCAGGCATGAGAGGCTTTTCATCGTTTACATCATGTTGGAAATTCTGGACTATGCATTTGTCCATGCTTCCATCCCACAACACTGACTCACACACACACAGAGCATTCTTCTCCAGTGATAGTGCAAGGAATGTTCATTGGTTTTTTATGAAACACTGAAAGCTTACTTGAGAGCCATCCATTATGCTATCTGTTATTCTGTGTCTGTTGTGTGTTTTAGTAAATGGAGTGGACATGTTGTTGGATCTTTCTTGCCATTTGCCACTAATTCATTTGAAGTCCTGCTGCCCATATATGTATTGACATTTTGCTCCCTGCAGTTTTCACTGCCTCTACCAAAAGGTGGGAGGGATGCCATCACTAAGAACCTTGTTCTGCGTGAAGATCAGCTACCACAAAAGTTCCTCTACCCTAAGTCGAAGAAGAAAGTGAATAAAGAGGTTGGCTTCAATGATTCTTGTAGCATATTTGTTTGCATTTGTCTTCTTGCTTGTGCTTAATTAGTCCCTGGCTAATTTTATATAAATCTAACCATGCAGGGAGACGACTTCTTTGTTCGGGATGACATCTTTAGCCACCATACTGATAAAAAAAGGTCTTTCCGGCCACCCATAAGGCAGGCATTAGCAGTTTTTAGCGGGAAAAGGAATCCTAATGACAATCACTACTCTCGTCCTAAGCACTGATGGTAGCTTCTGATTTATATTTTTTAAGAATTTGATTGGAATTGGAATTGTGGGGTCCACTCTGGTTTATGTTGAGTTCTAGAGTGAGAAGTTAATTTATTTGTTTTGTCATGTTTTGAAAGTTTGTTCTCCCATGAGATAGATAAATGGACACACCCCCATTGAACTGATAGTGTACCTTGAGCACGGTTTTGGTATGGTTTTTGAGCAATAAAAATGATTACTCAAATTGCTTTTTTTCAAGCTATAATCTGGTGCATTATTTTCAAGCAATAATGTGGGGGAGATTCTATTGATGAAATTAGTGACCCGCTTTTTTCACCTTGAATTTTGTACCTGGTTTATCATTGCAGAAGATGATAAGTTTGCTAAAAATTCACGAATATAAATTTAAAAAGTGCCAATTTAAAACCAAAGTAGTGGTCAGAATGACAAGAGTATGAACGTACGATAATACAAGACAGGGCAGGCTAAAGTTTGTAGCATGGTAATGTTACTTAGAAGTGACCAACGTCCTCTTCGTCTTCGGCAACATTGTCAACCTCAATGCAATGGCAAAAAGGACCTGATTTTTGAGGTTACTAAAAAGCTGGGAGAAGGAACGGCACACGACCGACAATTCTTGAACATTAAAATGCAAGAAATATTCCAATAGTTTGGCTCATGTGTCATGCTTTGTTAAATCTATAAATGATAATTTAAAAATTATTTAGACGTATCTATGATGGAGGATGATGCAAGACTAGGTTAAAGAAATATTTTCTAGTTTAATCATATAAATATTGTATGAAGTGGAATTTTTTTCAACATACAAAAAAACCTTAAGTATTGACATTCCTAAAATATTGATATAGATTAGAAGTGAGTTTTCCATCAACATACAAAAAACCTTAAAATATTGACATAAGTTAAAAGACTTTCTTTTTTACAGCATTAGATTTTCTTCAACAATCCTTTGAATACTTAATCAATTATGATAGAAAATATGTATTCTTTTAATTTTTTATGCGTTTATATACTTAGATATATTTAATTTATTTTACATGTATTATCAGAATCCCTTTATGCTATATTGATTAGTGCTACAGATTCGATTTTAACGTGTATACCACACATGCAATTGAGCAATGATGATATAATATTTGCGTGAGAAATGGCGTCCAAAGATGATCATCCAGTTTTCCTGCCGCATGATGTAGTCAATTAATTGCTGTACAGTTTATATATAAAGAGCAGCCATATTTTTATTTTATTTTATTTTTCTGTTTCACGAGTTCAACTATTTAAGAAATAAAATTGTTGACTCATGCACGCCTCTAATTGATTGATATTAATGTTTCCGCATAGATTGAACAGAAACAAAAAATGCAAGCCTTTGTGTGATATTCTGATCAGCCCGTGATCATCACTTGAAATCAAGTAATATATGTTGCTGCTGTTTGTCGGCTTAAAATTTTATCTGCAAAACATTTTCGGGATGCGGTGTACGATTGGCATTAATTATTTGCTTATTTGATGTATTTAAATTTTCTGTTAAGATTATATAAACGTTCTAAATATTTATTAATATGCTTATATATAGAAAATTATTAAGTGAAAATCATGATAGGATTTATATGATTATTTTGATATATCAATATAAAGTTTCCAATTGATATTAAGAAAATGCTATATAGAGATAATGATGTCGATTGACTTAGTAATAACCACGACATCTTAAGTTATTTTGATGATCATATTAAAGTTTAACAAATTAATATGCTCATAAAGTATGTAACTTAATTTGTAATTATTTTATAAAAATAATGACTTGATCCTACAAAGAAATTGTTATTTTTGTGATTTAATTGAAATAAAACAATAAATTGATATTAAAAATGAATTTTATTCTAGACCCCCAAGTGTGAATATTATTTATTCTTGGTATTTTATTTATTATTCTTATTATTAAAAAATTAGTGAATTCTATGTATGATGCAACCTCTATTCACATGAAAGTTAGAATTCATTACTAAATTGACATTGGTTAATTTAAATAAAATATGTTTTCATAGTATTAAAGTATTTTCTTGGTTATTGTAGCTTTTTCTATTGCTTTTATTGATACATCTAGTATTCTAATGCTATGTGGTGATAATTTTGCTTATTGGAAAGAAAATATTCTCTTTACATTGTGGTGTGTGGATTTGGATTTGACCTTATGTGTGGATGAACCATTCATCCTCATGGATTCAAGTGATGCACAATAAAAGACTAATTATGAGCGATGAGCGATTTAATCGCTTAAGTTTAATACACATAAAATCTTGCATAAATAAGAGTATTAGGGGTTTAATATAAGGCAAAAGACTTCCTAAAACCCATAGAGAAATAGTTTGTTCATTCCGATAGGACATTAGCTAGCATTTTAATGATAAAACTTTCGACAAGTCATTTGACTATTCTAAAGGCCCACGCATACATTATGAAAATGAAGGACATTGTTGATTAATTAAAGTCCTTAGAGTTGGAGATTTCTTAGTAATTCTTGGTGCATTTTATTATGAACTCTCTCCTCGCGGAATATGATTCGTTTAACATTTCTTATAACACACATAACCTTGTGTATTAAAGAAGAAGGGAGATTGAAAATTGAGAAACCTAAAACTACTCTTTTGGTTACTCAAGCTAAGAGAAATGCCAAGAAGGGTAAAAATGCTTTCAAAGTGAAGAAACATGAAAATATGCTAATAAAGCAAAATGGTAGTAATAGTAAATATTTCTTTTGCAAGAAATGGGGATATATTAAGAAAGATCGCCCTAAATATAAAAACATGGTTAGTAAAGAAAGGTAAATCCATCGTTTTAGTGTGTCATGAATCGTTTTTTATTGAGACTCTTAGTAATACATAGTGGATTGATTCTACTTCTACGATCCATATTTTGAATACCATGCGAGCTTTCGAACCCGAGGAAGCCGTAAAGAAATGAAGAAGGAATCTATTCAAGAGACCGGATGTGCTCTAAGGTTGAAGCTATGAGGACTTTTAAATTAATTTTCAAATTCGAATTTATTTTGGATTTGAAAAATATCTTTTATATTCCATCGTTTTCTAGAAATTTGATTTAATTTTAGAATTTGTAGTATTGGCTATGGATTTTCATTTCATGAAAATATTTTTAGTATTTTAAAAAATAAAATTTCTATTGGTAGTGGAAGATTAATTGATGGTTCATATAAAATTAATCTAGACCTCGACTTTGAGCTCAACTATTTATCAATACAAGGAGCAAAATTGATCAAAATTCCTCTACATTGTGGCATAAGAGATTAGGCCATATCTTCATTGAAAGAATTAAAAGATTAGTGAATGATGAAGTTTTAAACGAGTTGATTTTAGTACTCGTGTGGATTGCATAAAGGGAAAGAAAACTAACAAGACCATTAACGGTGCCATTAGAAGCTTAGAAATTTTAGAAATCATACACACTAACATATATGGATCGTTTAATATTTCTTGCCTAAATGGTAAAATGTAGTCTATCTCATTCATCATTAACCATTGTAGATTTATATATCTCTATCTTTTATATGATAAGACTCGAAACACTTAATGCTTTTAAGACCTTTATGGTAAAGGTAGAAAAAAAAAAAAAAGATCATCAAGATTGTAAGGTTAGATAGATGTGGAAAATATTATGGTAGGTACACCGAAAAAAGATAAACGCCATGACCATTTGCAAAGTTACTTGAAGGAGAAGGCATTATTGCACAGTATACAATGCCCGACACACCAAAAGAAAATGATGTAGCTGAAAAAAGAAACCGTACTCTCATAAACATGATGAAGAGCATGATTAGTAATTCTAATTTACCATTATCCTTATGGAGTGAAGCATCAAAGTCCGTTATGTGTATTTTAAATAAGATTCCATATAAGGTTATCTTTAAGACACCTTTTGAGTTATGGAATAAATAGAAACCTAGTTTAAATCATACATATGTATGGGTTATCCTATTGAGGTAAGGATTTATAATTCACAATTAAAGAAATTGGACCCTAGAACAACCGAGTGGATATTTTATTGGTTATATAGTAAACTTTAAAGGATATATTTTTTATTTTTATTCTCATAATACAATAATAGTAAAGGAAAAAAATGCTAAATTTCTTAAGGATTTAATCTTAGTGAGAGTGATTTTTCTCAAAGAATAGAATTTGAAAAGACACAAGATTCAACTGTGTTACATAAAAATATAAGACAATTGGTTATTGTTCAAGAAAATCAATTAGATAATATTGAACAAACAACCAATTCAGGAGCAACTAGCTCTTGATGAGATAAACCCACATGAAGATGTTGAATTGAGGAGATCCTCAAAAGTAAGGAGACCATCAATTTCTAATGACTATGTTGTATACCTTTAAGAGTCTAACTTTGATGTTGGACTTAAGAATGATCCAAACTCATTTTCACGAGCCATAAATAGAGAAAACTCCATTTTATGGTATAAAGCCATGAAGAAAGAAATGGTGTTTATGTATAAAAATCAAGTTTGAGACCTCATTGATTATCAAAAAGTTCTATAGTCGTTGGTCGTAAATGGATTTATAAAACCAAAATAGATTCTCTTGATAATATCGAATGATATAAAGCTAGATTTGTGGTTAAGGGTTATATATATATAAAAAAAAAAAGGCATAAACTACTATGAAGCCTTCTCTCTAGTCTCTAAAAATGATTCATTCAAAATAATAATTGCATTAACAGACTCATTTTGATTTGGAGTTGCATCAAATAGATATGAAAATAATATTTTTAAATGGAAATTTAGATGAAGCTCGTATAAATGAATCAACTTAAAGGTTTTTATGGTGATAATAGCCACTCGATTTGTAAGCTAAAAAGATCTACATATAGGCTAAAGCAAGCCTCCCGATAGCGGTATATTAAGTTTTACAATATTATTATCTCATATAGTTTTATTGAGAACATTATTGATCAAAGTATATACCTTA